GAGATGGTTGGCATTTGGAATGGGTTGCCTTCAGATATTGTAGAGGCAGTAAATTTAAGTGAGTATAAGAAAAAGCTTGACAAGTATATGAATGATAAGGGCTGGCTTTTAAGATTTTTTTTATTATTATTTGAATTTAGTTTAGAGGATGGAATGGCCGAGATGGACCAATAGGTCCCATGTTGTCCCAAAACACTGTTATATTATGGCCTTTTGGCGGGAGAACCCAAAAATAATGACAAAAACAAACAGAAGACTTGGAGATTACTATAATCTAACAAAACTATCACTTTTCTCTCAAAATTTTTTTTCTTGCTTTCACATTTACTCATTCCTTACAAGCATTTCTTCATTTCAAACAATTTATAAAAACAGGTAAAGAAAATGTTGATTTTGCTGCTTTCACATGCAAAAATTATTTCATTGTGAGGGGCACAACAGAAACTTTGCTGAGTTAGGGGTGCCGCTATTTAAAGTTTCGAAAACAGTCTTATCCCATGAACATAAAATATTATTTATATTAGTAACATTATCGGTTTAGTAGTTTGAAGCTGAAACTTTATATAAAGCAATCACAATGAAGTATGAATGCAAACTTGAGTTGGTAGTCATTTTTTATTGAGTCTCTATTTTTAACAGTGGCTTGGATTTAATGGATAAGTTACCCCTAAAAGTACTAAACTATAATTCCAGACTTTAACCTTTAGTATTTATGCAGTAAATGTTACTGCACAAAAAGTTGAAAGTAAATAATTGTGTTAAATTTACTATACCTTTGTTATTTTTTATTCATCAAGTACTCAGCCAAGATATTTTACCATAAAGTATCTTAATTTTGGAAACATTTTATACCTTTATTACATTTTAATTTTTACTTGAATTTACTTCTTAATACTGTTTCAGGGATCGATAAGCATGTGAAAGACAATGCACTAAGTTTAGTGCTCTTTTGTGTAACAACTCTTGAGTCATCAAAAATGAAAATATAGACAGCATGATTTCCAGTTAAGTGACTAATCAATAAGATTGTTGTCTTATCCAGAAATAACTGAAAACTTTTAAGTAAATAATAAAAAAAAGTTTAGATAGCACAAAAATATTTGATCCATCAAAAAATACCCAAATTTAACTTTCAGGGTAACATATGTGAGCATCTTACCACACAACTAAAGCTGGGAAATTTGTGGAACACGTTACAATTAATCACTGGGCTCTTTTATCAACTATATTCAACTAATCAATTATTCTCATGAAGTGGCTATAAAAAAATTTGTTCTTAAGTGAGGTTGTGAGATAGCAAATTCTATTTTTATTTTGTTACAGTTTTGTTAACTGTTCATTTATTATTCCTTCTGCAGCCCAGACTACAGCTAAACATTCTAAATCAGTAGTTGTACAGTTTCTTTCTCCAGAGTTCAGTATTCTACTAGCATATGCTATGACACCCTTCTGACACAGAACTAACATCTGAGGCATCTGTATGCAAAAAATAGTGTTCACCTTTTTTTGAAAGTTGCAAGACAGGGGATTCACATAAAGCCTGCTATATTTTCTGGAATGGAGTGTGAGATAGCAAAATCTATTTTTGTTATGGTCTTGTTTACCCTTAATTTTATTATTCCTTCTATTATTTAGTTCAACTACCAATTTTTAGTTATATTAAAGTGCTAACTCACTTTCTAGCTACAGCATATTCAATTTGAGTATGTGTGTACCATGAAACTGACACAAGTTCCACCTAGCAGTAACATACAGATATTAATGTTGTGAAAGATTATGTAAATTAGTTAGTCACATGAGATGTAGCCTCGTGGTCTAACTACTAAATAAAAATCCTTTCTTGATATTAAAACGAATTAGTTCACAAGATATAGTTAGAATGAATTAAAACTGATTGTTGCTCAATACTGTTATTGATCTTGGAAGTGGTATATGTTTGGAATAAGGTTTTTCCTTTTTGTGTTTCTTTTTCTTAATTCCTATATTTATTGAAATTAATAACAAAATATTTTCATGTTCTAATGTTAACTAACACTTGTATGAAGTTCTGGCCAAGCATGGATTCAGTAACTGTTTTCTTGTAAGTGATTAAATTTGTATTCCAATTGTTTGAAAGTTTTATTTTGGATTTCTGTTGTTGTTTTTGTTCAACCCTGGTTGTAGCAGTGTTTTGTTTTAGTTTGTTGAAAGGTGACAAAAAAATAACAAGTTATAATGCTAAAAATCAGATTTGGTTGCCCACAGTTGGCACAGCACAAATTATCCATTGTATACTTCTGTGTTTCACTACAAACAAGCACAATGATAATATTTCAATCATTGGACAGTTGGAATAATTAAAAATAGTAATAAATGGAAATCCTACATTTGGTTAGTTGAGTATTTTTGTGGCATTGATCAACTTAAACATAATTTTGGTTACTGGATAACTGTAATAATCAAAAACACTAATTTTGATTATTTGATTATTTTTGTGATAATTGATTTAACTGCAATTTCAATTACTAGATAGCTGGATTAATTGCAAATGCAATAACCAGTTATTATTTTTGTGATATTAATTTATTTAATCATAATTTTACTTAACAGATTATTTTATGGGACACTAATCAATTTTATTGATGCTCATAGGTAATCAATTATATCAACTAATCAAATTAATCACCTAGCTCTACATACAACATATGAGCTGCAATACCACTTGCACTCCAACTGGTTCTGAAGACTAATGCCGGTACCTCATTTTCATAGCATATGTGTGAATGTGAGATGAACTGTTCTCTCCATTGCGAATCATTGCATCTAATGCTCTACCAAGATCATAAGCATACCAGAAACTATCAACCCAATAATACTGTTTCCACCTAAAAAAAGTATAAAATAAGTCACTTAGTATAAGTATATTAAAAAAAATTTTATAAACATTTTCAGTAGGATACCTATATATAAAGTAAACTACTCAAATAACTTAGCCTAATATTTGCATCCTCTTCATCTTTGTCATTCTTTATAAACTTTTGTTTGACTTCCATAGATTTTTTTTGTAACAAAATACATGCAATTTAAATGTCCAATTCTAACTGAGTCAAGAAAAAAAAAACAACAATTGTGTTACATATTAAAATCAATATTTTTTTGTTGTGTGTGTGTGTGTGTGTGGAACAGACCAACAAAATACAAACAAAAGTTAAAACAATTTATTTTATGACAGCTTTTTAAGTCTATTCCCAGTATTCAAAACTAAACATGCTTTGAAAAGGATTCATCCATCAATTGACAATAAAAGGTGTTAGCAATATTCCTGACCTTGAGCATTCTATAGGATTATCAGAATTGACCTGAATCATGTAGATATTACTCCCTTGGTGGTAAAAAGAAAGATTAAGGATAGATAAGGCAACAGAGTAGAAATGCTTTTTCCAAAGATTTGGAGGATATTAAAGATCAGATACGATGCCTCTTTCTCTTTTGGTTAGTCAAACAGTGGGCAAGACCTACAATTGTAGAGTTGCTAGTGATACTCCTATCCTGAAAGGGGAGTGAATAAGATTTACCCTGAAAAGATAGAACATGCAGAGGGAAAAAAAATGTGTACTCTGATAAAAGTAGGTTTGCAAAATCATTTAATGAAATATGGTATCATAAAAGAAAATCAACTAGGCTATATTAAAAGGAAATTTTCCCATACTAATCAGTAAAAAATTTTCAGGATGATACACGATGTGGAATGGTACACAGATTTTAAAAAATGCAGTGGCTAGATACCTGACAGCCAGGAACAATCTTTCAAGTAGTTAATACCCAGCTGTCTAAAAAATTTTAATACTGATGAGATACAACAACAATAATGATAATAACACAACTTATCATTTTGGAAGCTTATCAGTATTCATGACCATAACATTGTGGAATGCCGGGGATCTATTATTTCGAGGATCATTCCCAGCAGCTTGTAACACACACACACACACATGCCGATCGACACGAAACAAGAATGATTACTAATATTTATTTTGCCAATGCAAAGTTTTATTCAGATTATTTCATTGAGCTTAAAGACAAATCAGTCTTGTAAATTACTAGTACTCATTCTCTATGTCAAGTGAGAGGTGATCATAGCTGCTGGGTATCTAACCACTGCTTTTGAAAAACTTTTGATAATGCATCACACAAAAGATTTGCCAAGAAAGTGACATTGCTATTGCTAGGGGTTGGGAAAACACTTGTAAATTTGACTATAGAATGGTTGGATGATAGAAACAAAATGTTATTAATACAGTCCACTCAAACTGGACCTATGTTACTAGTGGTGGAGTTCAATGCTTGTGTCTTTCCTTTTCATTACTTACATTAAAGAGAATGATTAGTTAAGTTTGTGATAGGAATGGTAAAACAACGGGGTAGGAGTCATTTTCAGCTAAGACAGCTTTACTTTTTCAACAGAGTGGTTGGCCTTTGGATATGGTGGATGTAGTAAATTTAAGGAACTTTAAGAGAAATTTCAATAAATATTTAAATAATCAGGGCTAGATTTGAGATTGTTTTCTTATTTGGATGGGAATCATGTAATAGCTCCTAAATGATCATTTTAGTTATAGAAATAAGCTGATGTTATCTATGGTTTAGTATGATCATAAGTTGTTCTTTTTAATACTTATAACTTATCAAAAAAGTCATTAACTTTTTGTGCTACTTTAGAAAACAAGCATGTCAAAAAACATTTTCCTATCTACTGAAATACTGAATAAAAAATCTAAAGAAATAATAATGTCATTGTATAGGTAATTGATTAGGCCACATTTGGAGTACTCTGTTCAGTCTTGGGCTCCTTACCTTAGAAAAGACATTGAATCATCGGAAATAGTTTAGAAGAGGGCTACCACATTAATACCTGGGATGAACAGAAATGGTTCAGAGAAGGGCTACTAGGATGATAACCTTTAAAAAAAAGAAGAGTTAGAGGGATCTGATTTATGTCTTTAAGAGTATTAAGGGAATTAATAGTGTTGATGCATCATTGTTCTCATATTTAATGGTGAGAATGGTAAGACATAAATATAAATTTTGGCAGGAGTCATCCTCAGCTAAGACAGCTATATTTGACAGGGTGGTTGGCCTTTGGAATAGATTGCCTTCAGATGTGATGGATGCAATTAATTTAAGAGAGTTTAAGGGAAGGCTTGATAAATATTTGAATTATGGCTGAACTTGGGCGTTTTATTCTTATTTTGTCATAGCAGATAATGTCTGTGGTAATAGCACCAAAATCTGTTGGGGGATATCTCATCTATCAGACAAAATCCAAATGCTGATGTTAAACTAGTCAGCTGTCATGGAAAATCAAGTAAGTATATGAAGATGAGTGCTTACACCCACAACATATCAGCTCTTACTGTCTTTCACTGTCTATAGCCAGTTGTGGGAAGGCAGTTACCCTTAAATAGTTCTATCTAATATCTTTCTGTGAGGGTGGAGGTTGGGAGTTTAATTAGTAGAAATGTTAGGGTGATTTTATTTCTACTTTAAGAAATTTAAGGCAGTAGAAGCTGAGACTTGTGAGTGTAAGCTATCAGCTTTGTACCCTTATTTGATTTTCATAAGTTATGACTTAATAAACTAATGAAAAATAATATAAATGGGAGATAAATAACAACTTAGAAGTGTATCTATCACCTAATATAATTCATGAGTGTAATAACGTGAATAACCAAACACTATTATGGTGTTAAAAGCAGGAAGTTGGCAATGAAATGAATAGGCTTAAACTTCCAGTTCCAGGTAAAACATCTGCAGTCAATGATTTTTTATTATATTTACCTGTGTAAATACACAATAATTACCACCTGAACATAGATTGAAACTCATAATCAAAAAATAACGAGATACTATACAAGTTACAATATATATTTTTTACTTACTCATCAGTGGCTGGTAAATTGCTATCTGTACCCAGAGATACATGAGGTTGAGGGCAACCCATATGATCTTTCGAGCCCATCTTTGGTAGGAGAGCTTCTGTTGTATTATTATTTATTTTTTTCTTTTCAAAGTGAAGGTGTTCTAACACTTTATCACACACAAAACATTCAAAACCTTCAATAAAATCTATTTTATCAGGATCATTAACACCCCATGGTCGATGAAAAAGTACCTCCAGAAGTAACTTATTTGTTACACCTTCGCTACTTTTGAATTTCAGATACCTTGAGTATTCTTCATCATTTTCATCCAGATACTGGATGAACTTCGCTAACTCTGCAGGGCTCTCAAAATCATCTACAACTATCACAGATGGGTCTGATGGAATCCAATCTTTCACTTTATGAGATCCTTTATAAATAGGAACAGAACCAACATGAAGTGGCCTGAAGAGCTTTTCAGTCATGTAGTCATCACATATTGCATTTTCAAAAGCTAAATGAAATTTGTACTTGGAAATAAACTTATAAAACTCTTCATTTTCAAACATTTCTGAGTCAGCAAGAGAAGTGGGTAACTCCTTATTTTGAAGACAAGTACCATATGAATCAATACTGATGTATTGTGATAATTCTTTTACATACCGATCCCTATCTGAAGCAACCCCACAATGTGACTGCACATACAGAACAGCAGACAGTCCATTTTTCCGCAGCTGGTTTTTCACAGACAAAGGTATGGGTTTTCTTTCTGTTAAATAACTAATAGATGGAATAAATTGAGTTGTTAAAGGATAGTCTGATTCTCTTCTGAAAGTAGCAGTGTAGTTAAATAAACTAATTGCAATATTGTGAGAAAACAAAAAGTTATTCATTGGTGATTCTTCATGCATTAATGCCCACTGATGGTAACTTTTCCGAGGAAGTGGCATGTCTTCAATTTCCAAATCTGTTCCATAAAATATAAAACCTCGAGTACTAGCATCATCTTTTTTATTTCTCAGTTTTGTAGACAGACACTGTCCTTTAGGACAAGATATGATTTTCTCATCTTCTTCAAAATGTGGAAACAGACGTCCAGTCCACCACAAAATTCCAGGTTTATCATTATCTGATATGGGAGTTTTGATATCTTGATCAGTATTTACAATTGCTGCCTCACAAACCAGTATCATAAAAAACGTTAATTTTCCATGAAGAAATAACACCCTTGCAATACGTAAATTAATTTTTTTCGTTAAGTTTTGGGGCAAATTTTGGAAAGATACAAGCATTACCAGTGGTATAAACATAAAACTTGAAAGCATAAATGAAACTTAAAATTTTATCCAAAACATGCAAAACATTTGCATGTTAAAAACAAAACAAAGAACTTTTCATATAATATTTAAATTAAAATATCGTGAACACAACACTTCAAATAACACTTTAGCTCCACTTTAAAAACATTAATCACGTACAGCTAACGAGTTAGATTTTACTTATTGGTATGTTTCTTAGGCTCTACACACAAACAAGTTTTTCTACTCAAGTTCTACCCAGTAATAAATCAAATTAATTACTTTTTTATATTTACTAATTTAGTAAAAAATAAACTTAATTTATAACTTTAATGTTTTAAGTTAAGTTAATATATACGTTCAATGTCTACTATATTTTATTTTCCTTCGAAATATGTCCATGCAACCTGAACACGCCCTCGCAAGAAAGAAATACTGTATAATAAATAATTGGTGCTAAAATAGATAATAATAATGTGTTATTAATCCATTGCCCTAATTCTGATTTGTATAGAACTTAAACAAAAGTTATAAAAATCACATTTAACTAAGTTAATCTATTTCACTAATAATGAAGATGAAGAAGGTTGATAAAATATAAAACATTTTAGTTACAAGGTTCGAACGTTTCGGAATAACTTATTCCATCTTCAGCGAAATCTGAAAATTGTGTTACAAAGATGATTATTACTAAAATTATAATACTGTTACGCCTCCAGTCGTTAGTTAATTTTCCGTAACTTCGTTCCGACGCAACTTTAGCGACACAAGTCCTTTCTTAAATAAAACTGAATACAACTTTACGATACACTTAATTTCAACAGTCGCTCTATAACAAACACTATAATTCACGTCTCACGTGGCCAACAATATTTTATCCGCATACATTCAATTACTCATTCACTTGTCGCGTCACGTTGTGACCGTCTTATATATACCAAACTACCCCCAATCTAGTAGTCTCTCGATAATTCATGAAGGTTCGAGAAGGAGTGGCGTGATACTAGTCACATGACCTCGCTGACGCAACAATACAATAACATAATCATTAGATTATTTAGTTATTAATGGCGAGGTGGTTAGGGTGCTCGACTCGCAATCTGCGGGTTCGAATCCCCGTCCCACCAAACATGCTCGCTCTTTCAGCCGTGGGGGCGTTTTTATGTGCGGTCAATCCCACTATTCGTTGGTAAAAGAGTACCCCAAGAGTTGGCGGTGGGTGGTGATGACTAGCTGCCTTCCCTCTAGTCTTTCGCTGCTAAATTAGGAACGGCTAGCGCAGATAGCCCTCGTATATCTTTGCTCGAAATTCAAAACAAACAAACAAACAAACTTAGTCATTAAGAAAAGCGGTAAATGGACAGGTGAAACAATGTTTATATATAATTAAACAACAGCTGAGTTAGTGTGCAAATTTAGAACAATTCTAAATCTAAAGAGCTTTGTGAGTCGTTAAGGGTCGGGCGGTCTTTCGCTATGAGTAGACTTTCTTTAATGTAGAGGTCAAGGTCTGAAGATCCTGTGGTGATGATAGAGAAATCGTTAAATGAATATTGTGACCTGTGGTTTCAGAATGAAAGTGAATGGATGAGTGGCTGGGTTTCAGTAGTCGATAATTGTTTCTGTTAGATACTCCTAAATGTTCACACACTCTAGTTTATAAGTGGTGGTTCGTTTTGCCAAAGTAAGTGACCTTACAGAGCCACGGTGCTATCATAGAACCAGTGGTAAACTGCTCAAACCTAAAAGTTAAAAAACATTATGAAGCTTTTTTCACTTTCATCATATTAGTATTTCTTTGACCAATACCCAGATAAACTAAGGTTGAATACCTTTTTAGATGGAATGAGAACTGTGCAAAGGCCTATCTGTAACTAAAAGTGCCTTGGTTGATGCACTGTTGTTGATTTACCTGAGAGAAAATGTTCCCTTTGTCTTGAATACAGATGCAAATGACATTAGAATCGAAGCAGTGCTGTCACAACTGTAGGATGATGCAGAACATGTTATAGTATGTACAAGTCAAAAGCTAAGTTCACCTAAATTCCATTAGTGCATGACAAAGAAAGACATACCTGCAGTTGTAACACTTGTTCAATAACTTCCAACCACTGTTTGAATGGTGGGGAATTTACTGTTGGAGTAAATCGTGCATCAATGAAAGGGCCAATGAGATTAGTTTTAAACAATTGTACTACAACATTGTATGAGTACAGCTTCATTGTACAACATCGTCTAAGTCAGCAGCATTGAAATAAAATATACTTTCTTGCTTGCAAATGATAACTTATCAATTTGTAAAATGTCTTGATCCAAGACATAATGTTGTTGTGAAAGCTAAGGTATCAGTTATGACATTACACCATATTACGATTGAGAGTTAGAATCTCACCAAGAAATATATAGTGAATATGACAAAATAGAAACTTAGAGATGAGTAGCTTAAAGACCTAGATTTAGCTTGTGTACAGGATGAAATGTGGCATTTATAGATTGGTAAATGTAAGTTCAAACCCTGCCAGTTGAACAAAGAACTGGAAGTGTTAAAGAGAATAGCATGCCATTTTTATAACCCTGCAGATTCAGAGGCTGTTTCATAATGTATGTAATTGTACTGAAGTCTCTGAGAATGCAGATTTTATGAACCTTATATGATACAAGAATTGGAGGACACCAGCACTACAAGCAACTCACATAGATAGAACTCACATAGAACAGCCATGGATTTCTCGGCCCCTACCAGCATCTACAAATGGTAGTAGAGCATTCTCAGCACTTCTATATGCTAATACTAACAAGGGAATTTGCTCATCCCAAGTTTTCTGATCCTTCTCACAGTATTGAGAGATCATGTCCAACAAAGTTCTATTAAACCTTTCTACTAAACCATTGAAACCATAATCTGTGGTTTCAATTTTCTTCAGACCTAATAAGTCACAAACTTCCTTCATTAATTTAGAAATAAAGTTACTACCTCTATCTGTCAGTAAATACTGTGGTATAACATGTCTAACTACTATGTTATTCACAAAAGCCTTGGCTATTGTTTCTGCTTTTTGATCAGGTAAACAAATAGCCTCAGGAAATGTAGTTAAGTAGTCTGCGACTACTTGCACATACTTGTTTCCTAGGTAGGACGTCGGCAATGGGCCTAATATGTCCATAGCCACTAGCTGAAAGGATGTCTTTAGACTCGGCATTATTTGTAAGGGACCATTTTTAAAATGTGGACTCGTTTTTTCGTTTTTGACATTCTAGGCATGAGTCACAATAATTTTTAACTTATTTTCTCACGTTTAGCCAAAATAATCTCCTACTTATCCTACTGTATGTTTTAGTAAAAGCTAGGTGTGCCGCGAATGGCGTGTCGTGATATGTTTCATAACTCTAGTTTTTCAAGTCATGTGGTAGAACTATTTGTAAAGACCTGTTATCCTTAACCTTTTTACATAAGATATTTGAATCTAATGTGTATTCTGTATCCTCTCCTTGCGCTACTTTGTTTTGTAAGGCACTTAATACCGGAGCTTTCTTTTGCTCGCTAATTACATGATATAAATTCCAAATTTTTTTAAAATCGTCTTTTGTTTGTTTGTTTGTTTTTTTTAATTTCGCGCAAAGCTACACGACGGCTATCTGCGCTAGCCGTCCCTAATTTAGCAGTGTAAGACTAGAGGGAAGGCAGCTAGTCATCTCCAACCACCGCCAGCTCTTGGGCTACTCTTTCACCAACGAATAGTGGGATTGACCATCACGTTATAACGCCCCCACGGCTGAAAGGGCGAGCATGTTTGGTGTGACAGGGATTCGAACCCGCGACCCTCAGATTGCGAGTCGAGTGCCTTAACCACCTGGCCATGCCGGGCCCAATTCGTCTTTATGTTCAGTCTGTACTGCTTGTACTTTATTAATTGTCTGCTTTTCTTCAGTCTCTGTATTTCCTACTCTAATTCTACTCAGAGCATCAACATTAGAACGCTTTCTACCTGGTCTATGTCCTATTTCAAAATCGTAGATCTGTAGTAATAATGACCATCTGGTTAATCGAGAGGAGGGGTCTTTGAATGTCATTAACCATCTTAACAGTGCATGATCTGTAATAATAATGAACTTTTTACCATACTGATAACAATGGAAAGTTTTAATTCCATGCATTACTGCTAAGCATTCTTGTTTTGTAATTGAATAATTTATCTCAGCTTTTTCTAACTGTCTACTCTGATAAGTTATAGGGTGTTCTTTTCCATTTTCATCTAGCTGTGATAATACCGCACCTGTAGCAAAACCTGAAGCATTTGCGCTTAAAATAAATTCCTTACTGAAATCTGGATAACTCAGAATTGGTGCTAGTAATAAAACGTCCCTTAGTTTCTCGAATGCTTCCTGTCTTTTATTTTTCTTAGTTAATTCAGTTAAAAGTTTTGCCAATAATGCAAAATGCGGCATAAACCTTCTATAAAATCTTACAAATCCTAAAAATGCACGAATATCTTTTACTTTTTTAGGCACTGGATAATTCTTGCAGACCTCTAACTTTTTAGGGTCAGGTTTTACACCATCTGCGGTCATCAAATGACCTAGATATTCTACTTCTTTTTTCAGAAACTGACATTTACTTGGTTTAAGCTTTAAAGTTGCTTTCTGTAATCTATCAAATACATGCCTTAATCTCTGTAAGTGTTCTTCAGAACTTGCAGTGAACATTATAACATCATATAAATAACAGAAACACTCTGAATCTTGCAAGCCTTATAATACAACATCCATTAATCTCTGGAATGTTGAAGGGGTATTGCATAAGCCAAAAGGCATTCTGTTAAACTGATATTTACTTGAAGATAATACAAAGCTGTTTTAGTTATCTTCTTCTTCTTCTATCTCTACCTTCCAATATCCATTTTGTAAGTCCATAGATGAAAGTATTTACTCTTACTTAACCTATTTAAGGTTTCTTGGATATTAGGTAATGGGTAGATGTCTTTGACTGTTACTCCATTCACTTTCCGAAAATCCACACAGATCCTTTATTTTACGTCCTTCATAGAAACTAATACAACTAGGGATGCATATGGATTACTACTGTCCTCTATTACTCCTTGTCCAGGTATCTCTTTTACACAGTCTTTTAACTCAACCACGTGTTTTTCTGGCACTCTATAGGGTCTCTGTGCTATAGGCTTATCATCACTCAACACTACCTTGTGCTTAACTTTACTTGTACAACCATTAGGATCATTTTCTCCTACAAATATATCTATGCTCTTCTAACAACGTTATCAAACCCTGTTTATATATTTCCTAAGATAGAATCCCAATCTATCCTACTTTGTCGTACCTGTTTCTTAGCATTATTAACATTATGCTGTTCAACCACAGCTAATCTATCCTTACCTACTACTATGTGCTTAG